ATGCTTGAGAAATGATACCTGTCATACCATAAAAGAACCCAGTTGTGGAGAATGAAGAATGATTTCTTGAATAAATGGGGCCCTATATATTCAGGTTTTATGAACAATAAAAGGAAACACTATAATTATCTAAGAAGAGTAAATTACTAATATATTATTTACCCTACATACTATAAAGAATAAACTTTCCAAAACTTCCCCTCAAACTGGCAAATAAATATTGTTCATTCCCAAGCTTACCAATAATAGTATGCAACCCAAGATTACTTAATCCCTTAGTCAATACATCTGCAAGTTGCAAAATAGTAGGTATGTACATTATGCATATCAATCCATTGTCTAACTTTTCCTTAATAAAGTATTGATCAACTTCAATATACTTCATCTTGTCATGTTGTACAATGTTGTGGCCAATACTAATTGTTGACTTATTATCACAATATAGTCTCACAGGGGCCACCCCACTGAATTCTTCAAGTCTTCTAAAATCATCTTCAACCATTGGAATTCATCCACCCTTCGGACCATAACTCTAAACTCTAACTTAGCACTGGATCAACATACAACATTATGTTTCTTACTCCTCCAAGTCACTAGGTTTCCTCCAAAAAAAGTACAGTACTAGATATAGAGCTCTTATATCAACTAATGAACCTACATAGCACTAATATATACTTCAAGAAGCAGACCATTATTTTTCTTGTACATAATTCCCTTTCCTAAATTACCCTTTAAGTAGTGAACTATCTCATAGGCAGCTTAGAAATGCACTTCTCTGCCCTATATATAAATTAACTCACTACACTCATTGCATACAATGTCTGACCTTATATGTGATAAGTATATCAAGCTTCTCACTAGTTTTTGATACATTTCCCTTCTCCACCTTTGCGAGTCCCAACTTGCGATTGGGATCAATTAGTTTATTAGCCGGCTTGTATGCTAAGTTGTCAGTTTTCTTCAAGAGATCTAGAATGTACTTTTACTGAGCTATAAATATGTCGAGCTTAGAGTAGGCCACCACTATTCCGATGAAGTATTTGAATTTTCTCAACTCTTTGATCTCAAATTCCTTGACTAGGCATTACTTGAGGAGCAATTTCTCTCCTCCATCATTACATATTACAATTATATCATCTACAAATACCATAAGATTGACTCCCCTAACTCCAAGAGTTTGATGGGTATGAACCTTGACTATGTCTGAAGTTCATAGAAAGCATCACTCTAGCAAATCTCTCAACTCATGCTCGGAGAGATTGTTTAAATCCATAAAGTGTCTTTTGCATACCTTATTCTCTTCTCCTCCTTTGGCAAATCCGCAGTAAATATCCATATAAATTTCCTCTACTAATTCTCCGTACAGAAAAATATTTTTCACATCAAAATATTCTAACTGCCAGTTGAAATTAACAACTAGAGATAATAAGATACGTACAGTACTCATCTTTGTAACAAGCACAGAGGTCATTTGATAATTATTAGAATATTAAAAAATATATTACGAAATATTCTTATGTAATTATTAGTTGATTTCCTATCATTAATAGGGTGATTTACGTTTCCATATATAGATCTTTCTTCAATGTATATATACTCCTAACTCTATGTAATGAAAGATAAGTATTATTCAGTATTTTTTTTCCCTAACCGCTTACATCGTATCAGAGTTAGGATTAGGATTTCAGGGGTCAGATTACATAAGACCAAAAAAAAGGGTTGAACAACCCATTCCCGGTGCTGGAAGAAGTGAACCACCGGTCTCTGATCAGTTAAGAGCGCAGTCAGTACAGCACGCGGGAGGAGCTGAGGAGGCTGTTTGTGCGGTGGTTTAAGGCTGCATGTGTCGGGTTTGCCGAAAGAGGGTATTCTCATGTGTGTTGGTTTCCCGTTCGAGGACAAAAGCCACAGAGGAGCTCGGTCAGCCGGTTCTGTGCACGAAACCAAAAGGCCGAAGAGAAGAAAGCCAGGGCGGAGCAGATCGTGCGATAGCAAGCGATTCTCCGTTCTCCGGCGCGATTTGGGGCATTTCTGCATTAGAATTCTGTGGTGATTTCCGGTCGAAATGAGGTATTTTAGTAATTTTCGGCGACGGCATGTGCAGCAATGCGTGTAACTCCGATGGTGACAATATGGTCTTCTTGGTTTCCATGTGTGAGAAGGTATTATATTTTCTCAGAATTTCTAGTTTATTTGCAGTATTTTTTGAGTATTTCTGACTGTTATATTTTGAGTATTCTAAAAAGCATTTTTTGTAATTCCTATATTAAAATGGATAATAATATTGTCTGTTATTACTGTCGTAAAAAAGAACATATAAAACAGTATTATAAGAAATTGCATAATCACAATCGAATAACATAAATCGCTAATATTGATGTTGCTACTGCTAGCTCATTTTATGAAAAAACTATTATAATTTTAACTGATGATTACGCTAAATTCACTCAATATTAGAAATTTTTAAATAAATTTTATACTCTTACTGAATCAGAGAAAAAATATCTTATCTCCTCCAACAGATGGGTGATTGATTCTGGTGCTACAGATCACATAACAGGTAATCCTAATATTTTTTCTAGTTTTCAACCACACAAAACATCTTTTCCTGTAATTATTACTGATGGGTCGACCTATAACATTGTAGGTTTCGGAACTACTTTTTCCTATAACTAGTACCCTATCATCTGTATTAAATCTATCTAAACTTGCCTTCAATCTAATTTTTGTGAGTAAGTTGACTAAAAATTTGAATTGTTGTATTACATTTTTTCCTGATTACTGTATTTTTCAAGATCTTACGACAAATCAGATTATTAGTAAAGGAAATATATCAAATGCTCTCTACATTCTTGATACCTGGATGACTCGATCAGTTGTCTGCTCTAGTGTTATCTCTCCATTTAAAGCGCATTATCAATTAGGACATCCTTCTGTGTTGAAGAAGTTATACTCTCAATTTCATGATGTATCTTCACTAGATTGCAATTTACAAAACATCGTCGTAGTCCGTCAAGTCCAAAAGCCAATAGACGAACTGAGTCTGCTTTTAAGTTACTTCATTCTAATGTTTGGGACCCCGTCCTATTCCGTCCAAAACAAGTTTTAAATATTTTTTTTACTTTTGTTGATGATTTTTCTCGAATGATTTGAATATATTTTATGAAAAATCGTTTTGAAGTATTCTTTCATTTTTGTACTTTTTGTAATGAAGTGAAAACACAATTCAATATTTTTGTGCATATATTGTGAAGTGATAATATCAACAAATATATGTCTAACTTATTTTAGAACTATATGACTCAACACAGGATCCTTCACTAATCTTCGTATGTTGACACACCATCTCAAAATGGAGTCGCTTAGAGAAAGAATAAACATTTATTTGATACAGCTCGAGCTCTCTTGTTTCTAATGCAAGTCCCTAAGCAATTCTACATTGATGTTGTTTCCACAACATGTTCTTTGAGTAACCGTATATCATCTTTAATACTTGATGGAGATGCTCCTTTACAGTCTTCTTTTTCCAAAGAAGTCTTTATTTCTGCTGCAACCTAAGATATTTGGTAGTACTTGTTATACTTGAGACGTGTGACCTAGTGTGACAAAATTGGACCCAAAAGCCCTTAAATGTGTATTTTTAGGATATTCTAGCCTTCATAAAGAATACTATTGCTACTCTCCAAATCTCAATAAATATTTAATATCAACTCATTTGTTAAAACCTCATATGTTTTGGAATGGATACAGTATTTAGGCTCAAAAGAAATCTTTATATGCTAGAGAATAGTTTTCAAAGAACACAAGTTGGAAATTGCATTCTCTAGTCTCTTTTTTAAGTGCAATATGTATGTCAATAACAAAAGAAAAGTGATTTTCAGAGTTTACCTCACTTTCGGTGCGCAATTCAAATTCTTGAATCTACTTCGTACAAAGTCGGAGTTTTTCCTTCTCGAATACACTTAAGTTAAACGTGGATCACGTATGGGTTAAGGTTTAGGTTCATCTTCTGAGGCTTAAGACCTAGGCTAATTTTGTGAGTTTTGATTTTGTGGTGAAGTGATGAACTCAAATAGTATAGACAAACTATTTAAGGGTAGAAAAGGAATGTCAAAAAAAAAAGTCTCTCTTGTCTCCTTTATTTTCCATTATAGTCTTCACCTAAAGATAAGTTTGTCGAAAACGACACGGTCCCAACAAAGTTCATATCAATGAACGCATAAAATCTCTTTCTAGATA